GGGGTAAAGATCAGGTCTTCTTTATAGTAATCTCTTTGAAGCAAATATTACGTACTCCATCAACTCCATTTTAGTTTGTCTGATTCTTTTTATGAAGTTAGGGGATTTCATTAACGGATGCAGAAATTAGAAAAGAGTGGCTCCATTACAAGAGTGCAGACAAACAGAATAAAGGAGCCAGCAAAATCAAGGAGTTGTTTTAATATTAGTGACATGTTGTAAATTGCTCCAGAGAAAAAGGTTTAAGAGACACCTAGCACTTAGAGAGTGTTTAGGATTTGAAGTTCCATCAAAACATTTGCTATTTCTCTTTGTCCAGATACACCAGAAAATGCAAGCAGGCATTGATTGCCAAATCTGGGGAAGTGGTTTTCAAGGGAGAGTTGCCTATCCGGCTTCCTAACTCCTAGACCACCTTGTAATTTTAGCGACATAACTCTCTCTCATTTTAGCAGTTAGTAGTATTTATGCTGCGAGCTATTCCCTTCCGATAGGAAATTTTTCCTGATTCTGTCTAGCCGCTTGAGGACTTTGCTGGGGATGGTAAAGTGACATGAAGTATGTGGAAATATTGTCCAGTATGCTGATGAATAGTGTCGACCTGCCTCCCATTGACAAATATTGTTTTTGCAAGTATCTAACCTTTTCTCAAAACTGTCTATGACGCATCAGCATATAGGAGGTGTGATACAGTGACTATATCTCAATTTCTGTTGCCTACACTAAAGCCCTTAAGCCATTGACTTTGCACTGCCTCAGCAAGAGGCATGCTTAAATCTTGAATGGGTTATCATGTCAGAATTGGGATACTTAAGGATCTCTCTAAAGAGCTTCCTGTTTGTTTCGTCCTTATGTCAAATTTATGTTCAAATAAACTAAATACGTGTTGTCTGAATGCACTCTTTTCCAGTCCTTTCGAAGGGGATGTGCTTGACATGCAGCCCAAGATGTTTTGGTATTAAACTTCTTTAATGTCATCTTGTAGATTCTCCTGTCACATAAACAAAATAGATAAAACATGACTTATTTTTATTGTAGGACAAAAAGAATATCTAGAAGTGGTGCTGCAGGATAAAACAAGATACTTTATTAAGAGTTAGACCAATTTTAAACATTAAGATTCATGATGGTATTTAGTATTTTCTAATGTAGCTTATATGTCCAAGTCTCCCATTATAATAATTTTTATTTTGAGAGTTTAGCTTTAACTTTTAAGAAGATTAGTACTATTGTAATTTAATTGCAGCGAATGCCGATAACTATAAATATGTGGATCTTGATCTCCATTTCTTAGGTGCAACCAAATAATCCAACATGTTTTGAGAAATTGCTTCTAGTATGTGAATATCTTTTCGAAGTTATTGATACATGGTGTGTACTTTTCCTTATCTTTCTTTCAAGAAAAAAATAAATAAAAAAGAATCACATGGTGTGCATTTTCTGCGTTATTCATGTCAAAGCAAAATCTCACAGAGCAACAATTTATAAACATGAAAATATATTGTGTGCTTAATTCTTGTTTGGACAATTTTCTTTTTTAACAGGCCCCACTTACAGAAGAGCTGGTTTTTAGAGCTTGTATGATACCTTTGCTTCTTTGTGGAGGATTCAGCACCTATACAGTGGTGTTTCTTTGTCCTATATTTTTCAGTTTAGGTAAGTATAAGGATTTTCCATTTATTCACTGATTCTTGTGATGTTATTTTCATGGTTTTTATTGATGGTACTGATATAGTGTCTCTTTTCGTCTTCTTGAGCCGAGGGTCTATCGGAAACAGCCTCTCTACCCCGATGGGGTAGAGGTAAGGTCTGCGTACACACTACTCTCCCCAGACCCCACTTGTGGGACTATACTGGGTCGTCGTTGTTGTTGTATAAGGATTTCATTTTCAGATAAAACTTTCAAGAAACACCAGACATTACTTGCATATATTATTAGGATTTAAGAGTTAAGGTATATGTCTTCTGGGAATTAATACCACATGTCTCGTCAATTTTTATTCTTATATTTCCTGCTAAGAAAGAAACTAAATTTTTTGAATCGTAGTTGTTATTCTCCTGTGTATTGATCTAAATAGTGGCTAACTGGCTCACTCATACATGGAATGTATAATTAGAACATCAAGCTAAGCTAATCTCCTATTTTCGCATGGAGACAATGCAACGACACAGACACTATTCAACATAGTGAATGGCAAATATTTTCATAAAAATAAGGACATTACATTGTTATATCTAGTCCTATGAAACAGAGTGATTCCTCAGATGAATTCTAATTTATTTATATTCACATTAAAGAGGTATTTGAAAAATTAAATAAAAAGAAGAAGTTATTCATTGTTTGTTTTATAGTATTTGCTAACTTTTATTCTTGAGGATGAAGTATGTTAGTTTAATTGAAACTGTGGATGGTTTTTCATTACCTCATTTGGTGCAACTATTTGTGTTATCTGCTTGCAGCTCATTTAAATCATTTGTTAGAATATGCTCAACGAAGTGGCAGCTGGCCCAAAGCTTTTGCGGTTGTAGGTATGATCTTTGTCTCTATGTTAAATGTTTGCATGTCAGAAGTCTAAGATCTCAAAGTAGTAGTAGTAGTGTGAACTGAGTAAATGAGATAGATCATCACATTTTTGTGTCTTGTATGAATGGACCATTATGATTCTTTGTTGGGAATAATGTCACCCCAAAAAATTCCATGCCTAGCCTTTAATGCTTCTTCCTTCTGCTCTCCAACACCTGTTACATATACAAATGTATATGCTTGCTTAGTTTTTGGTGCAACATGTCAGTTCCAAATGTGTGCGAAGCCTTGCTAGACTTTGCCTGTGCATTACACTCTCTGTGATGTTCTTACTACTTTATGGATGTAATTTTTTCCGGCCTTTAGCTGACATATATCAATAAACTTGCTTCAACAAAAAAAATAAAGTTCGTCTGTTCACCACATATTTCTTTCTCCATATTTGGATGGATTAAGAAGTTTTGCCTTTTTACTACATAGGGAAAAGTGATATTTAGTTTGCGTTCGGACTTGGCTTTTATGTTTCTTATGTTTTCAGGCTTCCAGCTCGGCTACACGGTCATCTTTGGATCATATGCTTCTTTTCTCTTTGTTCGAACAGGTTAGCAATGCTTACGCTGTGATTTATTCATATGTAGAATCTCCTCTCTTCTTTTATTCGTTATTTCTTTCATCTCCTCTTTCTCATGGGGGTCAGGGGTGGAGTCGGCTTCATTTTTATTGGGCTTTTAAGAATGAGCTCTAGCTTAACATATCTTGGGCTTGAAAAGGCAGCTTTTCAAATGCTTTGTAACATCCTATTAACAGAAAAGCAATAAGAAATCAAGACTTCAAATGGTTTTCCTTTGGTCCCTCTGTTACGGTTCCAAAGCTCTTCCCTGTAGGCTCCATGCTCCGCTACCATGGCACTTTCCAATTCAATCGACCCTTCTTCTCACTGAGCTGCCCCTTGATTGCCACGTAGGCAGAAGATGACACCTTGTTTAGTTCCCCGTTTTCATAATAACCTTTGTGGTTTTCAAGTCAATTTCATAGTTCCTCTGTGGCTCTTTTTAACTTTTTCCTTGATTTTTTCTGCTAAATCAAATCTATTTCTTGTTCGAGTTACTACATTTAAATCTGTAATTTTAGGGGCTAAAATTGCCTACACAAAAAAAATGCACATTTTTCTTCCGATAAGAGCGTGCTAATGTTTAGTAATTGCTTTATTGAAGTCCTTAGACTCTAGTTTTACATATTTTCCCGATTATTTCCTGTTAAAGTATTTTCCACATCATAATCCACATTTGAAGGGGATCCTTGGAGCTACAGTAAAGTTGTCTTCGTGTGACCTATATAGGTCACGGGTTCGAGCCGTGGAATCAGCCAGTAGGTTGCCTACATCACACCCTTGGTGTGCGCCCCTTCCCTGGATCCTGCGTGAATACGGGATGCTTCGTGCACCGGGCCACCGTTTTCTTTTTTATAATCCACATCTTACTTGGACCTCCAATGTACGAAGTTTGAATGCATTGAGTTAGTATGGGAGGTGAATCCCCTGTTTTGTCACAATGGCAGCCCTTGCTAATGTTTTTCTCTCTTCTTTCTTTTGTTGGTTTATTTTTCCTATAATATTCTTTACATTTGATGCTTTTGTATAATACACTGTACATATATCAACTGCAGGACATCTTACCGCTCCACTAGTTGCTCATATTTTTTGCAACTATTTGGGCATACCTATAATAATTTCGCGGAGGACAGGTATGTTATTCTTTTCACTATACATATATCAACAGCAGGTATGTCATTCTTTTCACTAGCAAAGGTTCTTGTGCATGATAAGAATAAATATAGTAGGAGAAGTTAAAAATGTCGAAGTACAAGGCAATCAGTTCTTTGGTTCCACTAGCTCCGATTTCTTACCTTTGTCCGAGCGTGTTTGGCAAGGCTACAATACAACTTTTCGATTGGGATTTCGCACATAATAGAGGAGATTGCATGATTAGGCATATGGTCTCAATCAGACAAATAAAGCAGTTTTATCTTTCTTTAGGAGAAATATTGTGCCTGCTTCAAGAGAATATAATGTTGGATTAAAATGAGCTTAAATAGGGCAAATTGGACTATGAGGATTCATATAGTCTAACCCAATTTGCTGGTAATTGAGGCGTAGCAGTAGATGTTGTTCAAGAGAATATAATAGATTGTGACCCGATGATAGAAGTATAATTGTCAACAAGAACTAAAATGCATGAATATGCATAGGTGCCACTTCGTTCCTAAAATTCATTCGGTATCAAGCATCTTTATCGCACAACCAAGCATGTTAAGTTACATATCAGTCCTTGCACCCAAGGCTGAGGTAAATGAAGTGGGTGAAAGAAAACCATGGGAGATCGGGGTTCAAATTCCAGTAAAGATAAAAAATCGTTAGGTGATTTATTCTCATCTACGTAAGCTTGGTTGGCAGAGTTAAACTGTTTTTGTGTTGGTCGGGAGGTATCAGGCGGATTCAGGATTTTAATTTTAAGGGTTCAGGACTCATGTTTCAACTGTTGAACCTATTATCTTATTTGAGTTATGGGTTCATCGTTCGATATTTTCAACAATTCAGTGGGTTTTACACAAATAAATCCCTGTCTTGACTAAAAGTTATGCGTTCAAATGAACCTACACCTTGGCTACTAGATCCTCCCTTGGTATCTGGTATTCCATATAATTGTCGAGGTACACACGAACTGGCCTGAAAACCATTATATTATAAAAATGAAAAAAAGTCAGTTGCATATCAGTCTCTCAATCAGATCACCAGTGTGTACATTTTGGCCTACTTTCCTTTAATGGCTTCATTTGTTGCTTGGTATGGGAATTTTGATATTTAGGAATGTTCTTCCTAAGAATACTAATGTTAGTTTTTGTTTCCTCTTTTATGGTGGCTTAGGGATGGTAACAGTGGCATCTGTAGCTGGGTTGCTAGGTTTCATCTGGCTTCTTTTTCCACTCACCAGTCCTCATTTGTACAATGCCAGAACAGATAATTGCATGTGTTGGCATAGATATTGTAGTTGGAGCTAATTTTCTGACTTCCCAGAAAATCGTCGAGAGTAAAAAATAACTCAAATAATATGGAAATTTCTGTTCCTTTTTCCATTGTATTGGTGAAGCGAGGCCTTGAAGCAACAATAAGTTAGCTCAATGTGACATATATAGGTCATGGATTCAAGCCTTGGAATTGGCCACTAACCTCGTGTTAGGGTAGGCTGCATACGTCACACCCTTTGGGGTGAGTCCTTCCCTGTACTCTACGTGAACGTGAGACGCTTCATGCTTCGGGCGGCCTTTTTCTTTCCCATTCTATTTGTATTTAATTTTTCCTTTTTCTTTTAACCCTTTATTTAGCAATCATTGTCACGTATTCTGAAAAATCTGAAGGGAACTTTATCATGAGTTTACTATTGAAACATTTGCTTGAAATACCGTTGGTTCTTTTCTTTCTTGGCTAAAAGAAGTTAAAGTTATTTCAAAAGACAGTTTATGAAAGCACTATAACCTCAATTTTAGGGGTGTCAATGGTTCGGTTCGAACGGTTATTTTGTAAATTTTGTACCATACCAATTTTTCGGTTATTCTATTATATATAACCAAATTAGATTTTTCGAAACCGTCCTAATCATATCGGTTTCTCTTCGGTATCGGTACGGTTCGGTTAATTTTCGGTATTTTTTTTATATGTCATGTAAAAGTCACTAGTAGAAGTAGAATGGAATAACATACGTACTTTTATAGGACTTAGCAAAACTTTCTAGATATTTTTACATTTTAAAGGGTGATGAATTAAGAAAATATGAAAGATGACTAGAATATAGATTCATCAACTACTCTACAACAACGTAAAAGAAATTAAATAAATTAATATAAAGAAAATATAAATCACTCGAGTGGAAAGATATTAACCAAGCTGGGACTGAGACTCAAGAATAAAGTCTATAGAAGATTAAATATTTAAAAAGATAAATCTAAATTATACGAAAGAAAACATAGTCAATACATCGTAGTTTGCTACTCATAATTGCTACAAATATCTTATGTCTTGCTGGTGAATATACTGGAAATAATTTAGTTTCAATGGGATAGCATAATAGGTTTGGGAATTATAATTTTGATTTTATTACTTTTTGGCTTGTAGTTGTTTTCATAATTCTAAGACACAAGGAAAATTTAATAACTTATTATTTTTAAACTCAATATATGATCAGTCCGAGAGTGCTGGAGAGAAGAGAAAGCGGTAAAAACCTCTCTTATTCGGTCACCGAGAAGTCGGACGACTCTTCAGTAACCCAGGGTGATCCGATCCCTTCGACGCTTTTTTCGCTGTATATTTATTCGGTACGGTTCGGTATTTTTTCGATTTATTTTCATAAAATAAAAAACCTACCCTAATTATCGGTACGGTTATAGATTTATATAAAACCTACAGTTTTATTAAAAGAAACCTAAAAATCGGTTCGGTACGGTTCGGTCGATTTAATCGGTTTTTAAATATCCATTGACACCCCTACTCAATTTTGTGTAATTATATCTACACGGAAATCCTATAGTTTTTTTTTATATATATAATTATCAAGAAAGACGGAAAGGAAAGAAAACTGTAACAAAGTTAAATCTAGCATTCATTTTGATCAATATTGAATAGGAGTATCATTCTTTTATTGTTTCAGACTTGAACCGATTTTTTTTTTTTTTCTCTTGAGACGTTTTAAATATTTTGAATTAGTTTTAAAAGATGAAATCATAGAAAGAAATATTTTTCTATCTTTGATATGATTGTTATTTATAAATCTAAGTTGATTTATTTCGTAATTCAGTTAAAGATTAGGCTTTTAACATATTTGGCCGATCGGCTGAAAATAATTACAATTGCTAGTCAAATATACACTAATTAAAACGAATACAGATAAAGCTCATTTGCTTATCACTCTCTTAATTTCGTTTTATATGATAGTCATATTTAACTTATGTGTTATAGTAGTGGTAATGAGATAGTAAAAGAACATTAGTGAAGTGGTTAAAAAGTTAAATTTATTAATAAAACATCAAAATAAGTCTAATATTTGAATAGTTACATTTGAATTTTTCAAAGTTTGAAAAATTCTGTAGAATAATATAACTAATAGAATGGTGTCAAACATTTTAGAACGCCCCAATATGGAAAGAGCATTATATTGTAAATACACTAAATTTAATTGGTCTTGACCTTATACTAACTATAATTACAAATTCTTTACAAATGCCGTATCATTTTAATAATTCATCTCAATCATAGTTCAACAAATTTGTAAATATTTTCCAACTTAACCACTTTGAAACAACAATAAAATTATCTTCATGCGACCCATAGGTCACGGGTTCGAGCCGTGAAATTAATCATTGATTTTCGCATCAGCGTAGAATGCCTACATTATCTTAAAATACGGTTCTTTCCCCAATCCTTCACGAATGCGGAATGCTTCGTGTACCGTGCTGCCCTGCCCTGTTGTCCAACTTAACCACTTTGAATGATAAAACAAAATGAAAAAGAAGAACAATGATTATATTGGAAAAAACAAATGGAGGGGAGAATGGGGAGTACATGTTGAAGTGATGGAGAAATATTACTTAATTTCAGCTTGACTTTTTTAACAAGATCATCCCATTCCAATGAAAATCCATTCAACAAAATAATCAATGAGTATTCATAAATTGAAAGAAGAAAAAAAAAGTTTTCCCTCATAATTATTAGGTGTATGCGTGTAAGACTATTGTTATAAATGTGTAGATTTCATTTCTTGATGTTTTTGAAAGGATGTTTTTAGAAGAGAAAGAAATGATGTCTTTTAGATATAGGTTCTGATAACCAAGATCTTCAATAGTATATTCTCATCAACCAAAGATGACCTAAGTCTTTTACAAGTGAAATTTTAAATAATTAAATACCCAAAAATATATATTTAAAATGGAGTGTTGAAATTAGAAATTGAAATTGCCATCATTTCTGAGTGATGGGAATGGATTTATATAATTTATTGGAAGATTTTGGCAGCTTGTTATAAGGACATTTTTTACAGTAATCATAGCCTATATGAGGCTTCTGTCTTTAGCTTCTATAGTTTGACTTGTGTTCAAAAATTTTGTTACTAGTTGGGATTTTACTGGAGTGACCTGCAAACCCTAGATATTCAGCTTATAATGATGAAGAAGAAGATCAATATAATATGAAATCTCTTGGAAGAAATGAAGAAAATTGACTATAGGATATGATGGCCAAAATTAAATCATTTCCTTTGGTTGCATATATATATAGAGAGAACATTAGAACAGACAGATATAAGTTACCTGATAAAAGAGAAGTAATAAATAGAATACAAGGAAAAAGGATATTCAGTAAGTTTGATTGTAAATCACGATCCTAGCAAGTAAAAATGCATGAAGAAAGTATAGNTATATATATAAATACACACTTTTTTAGTGATACTCTTATCAAGGGATGAGGGAAGTGTGGAGTAAGGAAAAAGTGATGGTAGAGGCGGACCTATGTTCGGAATAAAGGGGTTACCGATTCAGGTAATTTTGCCAAATTGTTTATATATATGTGTTGAGAATGATCGTATATTTTATTTGGAACCCTTAAGCTCAAAAGTCAGATTACGATATTGTTTGAATAGTTCGCTCATATTCCCCAACAATCTTCAAATTCTAGGTACGCCTCTAGGAAATAAATGGTTAAATGAAAATTGAATTAATTACCTCTAGAGTGCAAAGTAGAAATTTTCTCACTAATTTTCCACAAAAAAAAAAAATAATAATAATAATCTTGGTTATATATGCAGAGTAACTTTGTTGTACTTAAAAAAAAGTGACTTTATTAAGTAAATTTGTCAATATGAATAATCGTTTAAGAAATTAACACTAAAACTTGTGGTGCTTCATTTTCATCGAATCATAAATTAAGAAGTTATATGCAGCGACTCTTCAAAGATCCAGTATATTTTTTTTGTTTCTTACTCGATGTCCGGTACTCGTATTGGAGACTAACTAAATTCGGATTCGCACCGACAAATCCCGCGACGGAAAAACCTCTTACTCATTCCCTTATTGAGCATTTCACGTATTTTTACTTGAAAGTTATGTTGGATAATGTTTTGAACATGGGTTCTTAAATCAATAAGAGAAAATTACCTCAAAAAAAATCAATAAGAGAAATATAAAAGAAAGGAAAAAGCTGCGCACGTATATTAGAATTATGGAGCTCTTTGTTTAATTATACCTAGTGACAATGTGCATTGCAGATTTATAATACACAATAAATTAATTTTATTAACCTTAGTCCACATATCATAATAATATTTGCGGAACCATTTTTTTTTCACCCGCTATTCGGTATCTGCATTGGGGCCCGACTAAATCCGAATTCGCGCCGGAAAGTCTCACATTGGGTGGGGGAGGGGGAGGGGAGTAAAGTGCTCCCTAACAAAGGCGACTCCATACCCAGGGCTCGAAACCGAGACCTCTAGTTAAGGAAGAAAGAGTACTTACCATTTCACCACAACCATCGTTGCGGAACCATGTTGAATGTATTTTCATTGTAATATTCTACGAAAATTCCCTTCTTTAAGAATGGCATGATCACTATTTCAATTTTGTCTTAAATATAAGGATATAATCACACAAGTCCAATATTTAAAAATATTTGTTAGAATAATTTTAACATTCTAGTTTCGACACATGCATGATATTGGAGATCTCTTTTTTTTTTTTTTTTTTTTTTTTTTTTTTTTTTTTTTTTTTGAGCAAAGATATTGGAGATCACGTATGCAAGGGAATAAAGAAATAACCATGAAAAACTCTCACGTATTATAATTGTTTAAAGAGTATAAATTATATACGTAGAGAGTACAATAAAAATTTAAGAACTTTATTGCATGTCCCAATAAAGTTTGTTTTATTAAAAATAAGATAAGTTACCTAACAACATGCATTGCATCACCAAATTTAAATAAGGATTCGCGTCGTGAAGTTTCACATCGAAAAGTCCTACACTAGGGAGTAGAGGTGTACGTAGGCCGGGTTGGTTCGGATTGTCTAAGTATCAAACCAGTTCAATTGTATATCGCGTTATTAAATCTAAAAACCAAACCAAACCAATATATATCGGGTTTTTAAATCTCGATTCTTCTCGGGTTTTAGAATTTTCGGATTTTTTCAGGGTTTTTTTCCATAAAGTCTTCGTAGCACAAAACATAGAATTTATACTCCAAATATTTCTTTAATCCTAGTAAGAAGGAACCATATAAAGAGTTTTTCAATAAAATAATATAAATATGAGATCGATTCATGGCATTGTACTAAAATATTCAACAATAAAGATAATAAAATCGCATAAAATAAATATTATTAATAAGCCATAATGAAAATAAACATAATTTA